AAATATATTTGTTATATGAAAGCTCTGTGTCTGTGGTCGCTGTGAGTATCCATGACGTCACAATATTGTCGGTGAAGACCTTTGCTACGAACTTTTGGCAGTAGCTCAAAGACTTCCCCACAAGAAGTCCTTACATTTATACTGCAGCAAAATCTGCAGTATAATATACCGAATGTCTTCATCGCTCTGAGGATTCTTCTAACAGTACCAGTATCTGTGGCAAGTGGAGAATGTAGTTTTTCGAAACTAAAACTCATAAAAACATTTTTACGCTCCACTATGTCTGAAGAGAGACTCGTTAGCTTAGCTACTATATCTATCGAACATGCTGAAGCATCAGTACTTAATCTAGCAGAATTAATCAAACAATTCGCGAAACAAAAAGCGCGTTAGGTTAAATTTTAATATGTTTCATTGAAAGTTTTGTAAACTCGTTTGTCTTACACTCATTACGATTGCTTTTATACTTCTTAATATCATTTGTATTATATTTGTAGTACACCTAAATATGTAATTTAAAATAATTTGTGCTTTATGTATATATAATATTTTACTTCAAAAATATTTTCTTTCAATACTTTTTCTTTCAATGTAAGTAAGTGCGAGAAATTAAAAAAGAATATACAACGCTAAGCTCGGAACCAAGAGATGCTCAACTGCTCGCCACCTTACAGTACAGGAGCCGGAAACACGGGCACTAGTACACATCTTACATTCAAGACTTTTAAAATAAACATAACATTTATTAGTAAATTCAATGTAACTTTTATAAAAAAAAATATTTTTAACAGAAGAGCACATAGCACTGCCCTACCTAATTTCAATTATTTCTTGTGGCGCACTATATTTTCGACGAACGGGAATCACAAAGGAAGAGTGGAAGCCATTTCCATATTAGCCAACTGCGAATGAACGAATGGAGGAACGAGAGTCTAATTGGCTCAAAGACAAACTTTTAGTTATGTTGCCAGCACAAGCTATGAAGACGGTCCTTTCTTATAAAAATCATACATTCAAATGACAAAATTTCAAAAGAATGAATGAATAAATAAATTATTAAATAAATAAATAACTTCTAATTGAAAATGTGTACTAGACATTTAACATTGTCATTAAACGTAAAAATTTGGAGAACTCCAATTTTTTGGTTTAACATTACAGAATAGTACTAATTTTTCTCAGTAATTTTAGGCGTAAGGGTATTAAGAGTACATTTGCCATTTCTTAGTTAAAACTTGGGTTATTTCCTGGCGCGTGGGGGGCTGTCTTCACGATAGAATATCTCACGGCATTTCTCAGTATTGTCGCTAGCTTCGAATGATCGCCAGCACTGCTTGATACGGTCGCGATCATGCGACTTCTAGTGTGCTATCTGTGCAGTGAAGTGCGAATGAATGGTTGTGTATATAATGAAACTAGTATGAATGATGAGTGAATGTAGAAAAAAAATACTAAGCCATATAATAACAATTTACTTAGTATATATAATATAGTATAACAAAACTGATCTAGTGTAAGTTAGTAATGCCAAAGTGCAAGTAAGTTAACTTTAGGTCTAGAATGTAAAATTAGTTGTAAGAAAAAGCCCCGCCGCTAGCTGCTTAAGCCGCAAGGCAGCAGCAAAATGTAAGAAAATTTTTAAGATAATAAATTCCCCTTCTTCACAGCGTTACTGTGGAGGGGACAAAAGAAAAAAAAGCGACATCTAGTGGCACGACCGAGAGACGCAAAATGTCGTGAGATATTTCATCATGGAGACAGACCCTCACGCGCCAAGAAATAAAACAAGTTTTAACTAAGAAAAGGCAATGTACTCTTATACCAGAAATAAAAACCCAAGCATAGTTCCTTTCGATTCTTTAGAATAAAAAAAAATAGGTCACATTAAGGTCTGATGTTTTTATTCGTAACTTCCATATAACTGGTGACAGAATCCAATTTTTAAAACACATTTCAATTGGCTAAAATAGGTCTAAGCTAGGCTTGCCCTAAAATCAGATCAATATAAAGTCTATACAAGGTAGGAGATACTGCCGTAACTCCCGCAGGATTGAGACAATTTTTGCACTTGTTAGGTACAGTAGAAATCCGATTTAACGCGACATCGATTTATCGTTTTCCCGCATTTAACGTTTATTTCTAAAAGTTCCGAGATCATTATAGGTAATTTACGCAAACACATTTTGATTTTACATCATTAACTTTGACGCACGGCCCGCATTTAATGATCACATTTTTTTCTTCCACGAATTGGGAGTCCCGTCACCACGTACGTCATCCAACGCCATCTATGGTGCACTGCAGCAAACTGTAATATATGAAACCGTAAACAGAAGCAATCACATGAGAATTAAGATGGTGTTATACGAAGATTGTTGCTCTGAGTCAGATTGCGATGTTCGAGGACCGGATTGCCCCCCAACCGTGTACCCGCAGATAAAACGTGTATGATAGTATTGTAATTTAATGATGTATGGGACCGTCCATAAATTACGGAACGCAAATTTACAATATTTTGAATACTCTCTCACGGCTGTAACGCTCTCTTGGATCATCCCCGAATAATTCCGCTACACTTGGCACAATATCCTCCACTCCCCAACTTACAATAAGTAAAAATAAATTATACCGGAGGAATGAGACGTATAACTTATTTGTATTCTATGTTAAAATTAATTACGAAGACAATTAGTTAGCGATGCAATGGGACAGAATCTCAACACAATCAGATTGTGGACAATTTTTGAAGGAATGACACGTACACGAGAAAATTAATGAAAATACGCCGTGCACACGTCACCGTCGTGGTTGACGCAAGGGCCAAGAGTCTACTACTTCAATTTAATTCGATATTTTAAAAAGACAAATTCTTCGTAAACTCACAGATTCGATGAAAAAATATTTTATAGTAAGAATTTGTACATCAACTTTTTAATTAATTCATATTTTTTCATTTAATTAGGTAATATTTTAATGTTTTAGTACAAGTCTTTTGGCAAATATTGAAAAATTTTTAAAATAAATATCTGCACTAAGTAACACTAAACCATGTCCCCCTACCCCCATGTAACGCTGCCTCAGACCAACACCACCGAGACACAATAATCAAGGACAGGCCTAATAATCTAGGAAGTATTGTTGACACCCCCTCCCTCCCTCTTCAGTGTAATGTAAATTATGGGCAACCCCTACGATTAAAATCAAGCATTTAAAAAAGAAATTGATAATTCCTGGTAATTTTAACTTGTTTCTTCAAAGAATACCCCAAACCCCCATTTAGTGTAAAGCCCCATTTAATGTAAGAATTTTAGGCCCGCCTGAGGTGACGTTAAATAGGGGCTCTACTGTATTTAGGAATTAAGTATCAGATTCTTCGCTTCTTAATGCATGGAAAATGAAACAAACTTCCTAGGGTATGCGTCAAACTAAAAATATTATTTGGGGTTACGAGCAGTTAAACTTATGGGATATCTCATTAGTTTAACGGCTTGTATCCCGAAATTGAGACAGGTCACATGTTTACCGATCACAATTGCCCCACACCACATTTTAGTGGCTCACTGAATACGAATATATAATACATGTTAACAAGCTTTTTTACCAAAGACATACACCCTTATAAAGGATATCACAGGATACTTTCTCTTAGATTTTGTGTTGAAATTAGTAAAACTACTTTTCTTTTTATTATCTATCATAAAGTTTCATTAGAAACATTGAAATAAACCATTCTAGAAAACATGTTAACAACATAAAACATTTGAATGCAACATTACACCTAAAATTCTGAAATGTTGACATTTTATGTTTACTAAATTTACATTAATCAGCCTTTAACTAAATTACCATGCCTTCCTGTTTCTTCCACACATGTCTGAAGAAGACCACAAACTCAGGTTTATCATTTATTTACATTCAACACTTAACAACAAACTTTTAATTAAAGGATAGGATCCAATAAAATAAGAACGCCAAGTTAACAGTAAAATAAAATTTCAGCTGTCTTACTGTCCTACATTAAATTTGTTAGTTGTGCTTGAATATTGTTACACAGAGTACGAGATTGTTTAGGTCATCGTAGTTTTCGTTTTTCTCAGTTTTCCTGATAAGGGGACATTTCAAAAACTATAAACTTATTTTCTATTTTTGTCACTTAGTAAGTCTTGGGTAGGGACTATAAAAACATAAATGAATGACTGAAAACCAAAACAGTATAAGTGACTTTTATAAATTCTGAGAAAAAATTGTTTATATTAGGCTTCATTTCACTACCAATGTAATTTCATGACTTTCATGAAATTGATTGATTGAATTTATTCATTGAAATGCCGTGGTTTTGACTCAAAGTACCACAGCATTACAATGATATTGAATTAAATAAACAGTTTTCTCAGAATTTATAAAATGTCACTTACACCGTTCTGATTTTTACTTATTCAAATATCTTAACAGTTATCTAATTTGCAGAAAAAACATTTTGATAAAAAAGCAAAGTACATTCTCAGTGAATTCAAAGTTACTTACCTTGAAGTGATAATTCATGGTTCACTCTATCGATAACGAGCACGTCATTCCCTCCACTGATAGCTTCAATGTAAAATTTCTCAGGTGTAATATAGCTGCAAGAATGCATCAAATGAATGAAGCATGTAAATCAACACCAGATGGTAAAATTTTGCATTTTTTAAAGGTACTAATATAACAGAAACTTACAGTATAAAATCGTCATAGAGATCCACTATTGAATCCATGCTGACAGACTAGAATGAATTATACCCTTGTTACTTTCGAAATGAAAAAGAATATATATAAATATATATATATATATATAGCACCACACTTAATCACCGTTTCTTGATAAATGTCTTTTCTCATGAAGCATACAATTACACATTACAAATTTTATTTTACAAACACCGAATCGCTTACTTGCCACTTTCACCCCACCTCGTTAACCCTTCCCTCCTCTGCCCACATCTGCCTCTGCCATTCCGAGATCCCCATCCCCACCATGACTCTTCTGTTATCATCGACAACTATTGAAAAAAATATAACTGGAAGACTTTAGGTTCCTCATGCTCTTCTGGTACTTTTTTCTGACACAAATTAATTTTCTTTCTCCTTTTTAGCATATTTATTAACAGGTATTTTACAACTATCTATCGTAATAGGAAATATCACACGATAATTGTTGCTTCTAATTGTTAACGATGTCCATAAAATTGGCAACCTGTACGTTCGTGTCATTGGTCTCGGTAGTAAGCTTCTGAAATGACCACCGTATGACCAGCGCCTGACCATGGGAGTAGATTGACAGAATTTAGAAGAGTCGTATTTATAAGATCTTGAGGTTACCGGTATTTCGGCGATTGATTCAGTATTGTTTGTTTGTTTGTTTCCTTTCAAAGCGCTTCTTCGCTGAGTGTTATTGTTTTCTATTTAAATTGAGATATGCAGTCACACATCAAGTAAATAAGCTTAATAATGTGGCTACCATGAACTGACAGGGGTGCATGTCGGTAATGTGATTGCGATTGAACACGCATGTCGTGTGGGATATCGTTGTGTGGCTTCTTGTTATTGTAGGTAAGCAGCAGACAGAAGTCAATGATGGCTGTACACGGAGTGCCTGCCAAAAGGAAAGAAATTTATAAATATGAGGCTCCATGGCCTCTGTATAGTATGAACTGGTCAGTGCGTCCAGACAAGAGATTTAGGTTAGCTCTCGGAAGCTTTGTGGAAGAATACAACAATAAAGTTCAGATTGTATCTTTAGATGAAGACACTTCAGAATTCAGTGCAAAAAGTACATTTGACCATCCTTATCCTACCACAAAAATAATGTGGATACCCGACAGTAAAGGTGTTTTTCCTGATCTGTTGGCTACCAGTGGAGATTACCTACGTGTGTGGCGAGCTGGCGAGCCAGAAACACGTTTGGAATGTGTGCTGAATAACAACAAAAACTCTGATTTTTGTGCCCCACTTACATCCTTTGACTGGAATGAAGTTGATCCAAACTTAATTGGAACTTCAAGTATCGACACCACCTGCACAATTTGGGGTCTTGAGACTGGTCAAGTTTTGGGACGTGTCAATCTTGTGGCTGGGCATGTCAAGACCCAGCTAATTGCCCATGATAAGGAAGTATATGACATTGCATTCAGCCGTGCTGGTGGTGGTAGAGATATGTTTGCATCTGTTGGAGCAGATGGATCAGTTCGAATGTTTGATCTACGACATTTAGAACATTCTACCATTATCTATGAGGATCCACAACATACTCCACTCTTGCGACTAGCTTGGAATAAACAAGATCCTAATTATTTGGCCACTGTTGCAATGGATGCTTGTGAAGTTATAATATTGGATGTCAGAGTGCCATGTACACCTGTAGCACGACTTAATAATCATCGTGCTTGTGTTAATGGCATTGCATGGGCACCTCATTCATCTTGCCATATCTGCACTGCTGGAGATGACCATCAAGCCTTGATTTGGGATATTCAGCAAATGCCAAGAGCAATTGAAGATCCAATTCTAGCATACACTGCTGCTGAAGGTGAAATTAATCAAATCCAGTGGGGTGCAACACAACCAGATTGGATTGCTATTTGTTATAACAAAGCTCTGGAAATTTTGAGAGTGTGAGAGACTGTTTGAGTGTGTGAATATCAACATAAGATCTGTGCATTGCATGATGTGTAGCAGAGTTGCCAATTGTATTATAAAAATTGAAGAAGAAAATTTCAGTGTTGTGCACATCTTGTATCTTCACTACTGAAAATAATGTGCTTGAAAATGTCTCAAGATTTGTTTGCCTTTTAATTCCCTTATTCACAACTGTGTGAGGAAGTAAATTTTCAATTTGTGAGTTAACCGAGAAGTTAGAATAATTCTATTGGTTGCAATAGGCTGAATTCTTACAAATTTGTGAAAAATTCCACTTAAAAAACTGAGAAATTTGCAGCTCTTGTTTTTCAACATGGTTTTATTAAAGTGGTTTTTACCAATTAAACAAAAATGTTATTAAAATGGAGTAATACTAAAAATATTATTTCTTATTGAGATTGCGATGTCTGACTTTATCTAAACAGCATTTTGAACCAAAAGTGCTACAAAGTATCAACCAATATAAAATTGAAGTAATTTTGCTTCATTTAATATTAGAAAAGTACAATCTTACTGAAATTGTGTACACTTTGTAAACATTAAATTTTTTTTAACCTCTATTGTAAATCATTTCAAATGTGGGTGGTGATAAGGCAATTAGAAATCCACATTGCTTTTTATTATCCAGACTCAATTCTATTTTGTACTCAAAAAAATCCCTTTAAAATTTTATTCAACATTTGAATCAAGTTTACTTCAATCAATCTTTATTTCTAAATTTATTGCAATTTTTTGTGCATTCGTTCCAGCATACTACCACACTTGCATAAGGAAACTATGAAGCTAAAAATCTTGATTAGAAACGCCTACTAATCATTTTTTTTAAGAACATTTTTTAATCAATCAATCTATATAAAAATAAAAAAAAACAACAGAAAAACTTTGTGACGTTTGGGGAAGAAGTCAAGTGAATTACATTATCTGTAACTGCTCTTTAAAAACAATTAACACATATTGTTATTTAAGGGAAATCAATCAGATACATTCAATTTTGGATTCCATACAAAGATTCAATTTCTTGTTCATGGTGATCTTGTTTAAATAATTTCATCATTTAATGGTAAATGTTTTTCATGACATGTCAATCAAATTGTTTGCAAAATCAAGAAATGAAACCAGAAGAGATTTGTATCAATTAAAATTTGATATAATAGGTAAAAGTGATATTTATTTAGCACACAGTAAAAGTTGTGATATGAGGTGAATAGGCCAAGTGGTGCAATCCTACAAGCAAAATAAAATAACTTTTACCTTGTGCATAACTATTTTTTTAGTCAGCTTTAAACGTACATTTTATTTTAATTCAAGTATACAAATCACTTAAACTTAATTATTCATTAAGGTCAGCAGTAGGTGCTGCTGTCAAGCAAAAGTATTATTGTTGTTGTTTTTGCTTTCAGACTTATGTGAACCCTTGAGCCTTATCTCACTTTCAGTGCTAGGGGTAAAAATGAACTCATCATGTTATGCATGCCCTGAAAACACAGCTTTTACTAGTGGCTGTGTAAAAAGGTATTTATATATAAACATACTTCCTGCTTCACTTTATGCCCTATAAATCTACAATATTCTCAATTAAATAAAAAAATTGTTTTTGAAAAACAAACATGTGAGAAATAGTTTAAGTGGTATTTGTGATGTGTTGCTTTGTACCATTTAGCCTTGAAGGCTTAAAAATTCAAATTACATTGGCAATAGTCAAATAAGTAATAAATCATCATTAATGTGCAAAAACTGTGTGTATAATTAAAATGTTCATTGCTAAACTGATCACTCTTTAGTTAAAAAAATAGGGGTTAACCCTCTGTTAAGAAGATAGTCATAATAAATGTTTATATCTATTATTTCATTAGATACTTAAACTTGGGGGGGGGGGTAGTAAATCATTACAAAATTTCAATTATGTAAGGGGGAGGGGAAATTCCTGATTGCATCCAATCCTGACAAAACACAAAAAATTTTAAAAGTTTATTGTTTCGCTACCCTAGTATAATATCTCTGTTATTTCATGCTTTTGTAAAATATTAGTGAGAACAATCAAATTTGCATGGATTGCTAATTTGTATTCTTGTGCATTCATCGAATGATCAGTGTTTTATTTAGAGTTCTGTCCTATTTTTGTAGATCGAAACTGTTAGGTGCTGTTTAATAAGAGATGTGCACAACAAGAAAAATGCATATTAAATTGTGTATTGTCTATGAATTTCCCCTTTGATGGTGGTAGATTCATAAATAATAATTGGATGTAAGATCCAATTTATTTATTAATTTCCTTGAATTAGATAATTTTTATTCCATACTTAGTTCTGTATGTACTTTGCAGTGTGTGCATTGTATTAATTGTAGCAGTATATCGTTTACTTTCTCCATTGAAAAGGTGAAAAAATTTGTTCCATTTATAGCTGATTCAGCTTCTATGTTGTGGGTAATAGACCTCTGTGAAAAATTGTATTAAGACTGAAAGTGATGTGATTGAGCTGCATATGAATGTTAAAACAACTGACAAGCATGAGTTTGCAACAGATAACTGCAGCAACAAAATGCCAACTCAAAATTGTTAATTTGGAAAGAGTCTATTGCAAACTCGGAAATTATTAGTAATATCTTGATGTTCGAAGGACCTAAAATGAATTTGGATTGATGAAATAAATATTTACAATGCTTTAGTTTTACTTTTTCTTAATACCTTTAAAGTCAAATAAAATGCTGCAAGTTCAAATTCAGTAATTAACTTATTAAATTAATTTGTTTTTTTTTAAGGAGAATCTCTGCATGTTTTCTCAAGTAATAAAGAACTTAATTTCTCACATCTCAGTGAATATTTATAGTGCATACGATACATAATTTCGAACCAAATAAAAGAACTAAAGAAGTGTCACTGTTTAATTTGTTAAAATTGCAAGGTGGTTTATTTCTATTACTGTGTGAAGTGGCTCAGTGCATTGCACACTGACTTCGCAATTAGGAGGGTTGTTGTTGTTGTTGTGTTTTTGTTTTTTTTCAAAAATGCCACGATCACCATTTTTTTCAAAAATGCCACGATCACCTTCCACCATCACCCTAGTCCTCTTACCCCTCAACATCACCCTATCATTCCCTGCAAAAGGCAGGAGGCCCTTGCCCTTAACGGGATCTTAGCTGGCTAATAATAATAATTGATTCTATATTTAATAGAAAATAGCTTCTTGAATACAAATATTACTTAGACGTACAGTTAATTCTGTGAATAGCTATAACTATAATCTTCATTTCATATTTGGAGTGTTTAATTTTCTTTCCAACAAGAGTTTTTAAAATTATTTTCTTCCCCGGGTCTATCAATGTTTGGTAACAAACTTCCACAGCAATCATGCCATTGTGCACATACCATGAACACTTTGTGGATGTAGCTAATTATTTGTCATCAAAACAACTGTGTGGGACGTACTATGGGGGAAAAGTGCAATCTTGATTGAATCAGTCATTTGGAGAAGAGCACATGACCATTTTTCTCGAAATGCAATTTTTATTATATTCTTGTTTACATGTAAACTCGGTCTGCACAAAAAGACCAACTGAGCTTGAGATGCAGCAACATTTGCCTTTCGTGGTTGCATATCCAGTACCTACTAATTTGTAGGTATTGGCATTCGCATCCCACGAGTTGATGTTATTTAACTTCTTGATTTTTGTTCTTTCTAGTGGCATACACTGGCAAAAATATTACTGAACAAATCCACATAATGGTTTTCCAAAAAGTACCATACATACTGCTAAAGAACTAAACATAGAATACTGTTGTATAAAGCTGCAATCAATAAATTATTTTCACTAAATGTCTTCATGCATACTGAAATAACGTAATATAGTATATACAGATACACAGACCAAATTCTTTACAAGGAATATCAAAAAGGGTGTTCAATAATGCAACATAATCATAACATTTAATGGCAGGCAGTCTCTTCCTTAGAGCTTTGTCACCACATGACATCAGCAGTATCCTAAGTTGTGATGCACTGCATGTGAGAAATCAGGTAGTATGCACAGTTAAGGAATAAGCAGAATGACAATCAAATAGTTGCATTTTCCAGTTAAAATTGTAACTCATTGCTTTTGTAATTTTTTCAAGTTCCTGGTATGTAATGAAACTATAGACATTTCTTACATGGCCAAATGCAGCAGTTTTCATTCAATTTTTCTCTAAGGTAAGTGTATATAAAATGTAGTGAAAAATATACATTATATGAAAATCAGTAATATTTTTCACTACAAAATTAAATTACTTGTATTGTTTTGGATTGTTTACATTCTAATTTCTAAATGCTGCAGGTTAATTGAAAAGAGAAATTATAATAATACAATGTAAGTAAAAAGAAAATAAAAGGTATTCAATTTCTACAGAAATTCTAAAAGTACTTTTGTAACTTAAGGCTAAATGCACCGAAAAATACTTGTGGGAAAATTCAATAGATTGCAGCCGTCACAGGGGAATTTACTTTACCGATAGTCTGGACCAATGGTCCAATTTTCAATCTGTAAACGGTATTTGACGCCTTTTTAAATATAATTTATGCTACCATGTCCTCTTTCCAAAAATCTAGCAAAAACTCGAACTCTCCAGAACTAATGTGGACCTATAGCGCGACATGCCTCCTGAATCTAATGCCGTGTCAATCATGCAAATCGGATGAATAGGAGAGTCGTAAAGTGAAATTAGGGAAAACACCTCGGCATCCTCTCAACCGTAGCGTCATCCGCCCGTTGAGGGCCCGCTCTCGGCGCGGCAGCACGGGCAGCCCCGGCGGCTCATGGCCAGTTCCGACAGTGGAGGTCAATCTTGAGATACCAGGCAGTCGGTTTATTCTTTCGTCACTTTACATCTCAATATAGTTTTCCCCCACATATCAAACTAGTGATGCAGTAACGAAAGCAAATGGTTTTGTATCATTTGTAATAGTAGTATAAAAGTATTTATATAATTCACTTATTTCCGTCTT